CGCAAGTCTGGGCTGGGTGAAGCTGTCTCTTTGAGAAGAAGTGGCTTGGGGGGGACCAATTGGGGTTAGCTCAGCTTTATTCTGCATGTTTCAAATTATGCAGGAGCATTTATGTGTTGTACATTTAATTAAGAGAAATAAAGGAAAAACTCTCAAGATTTCAGAAATGGGTCATGGGTGGTGGGAATTATATGCTTCCCAGATTCTTTAAGTTTGGTCAGCAATTCCTCATTATTTTCTTTTTTTTTTTTTTTGAGACAAGTTTCACTCCTGTTCACCCCAGGCGGAATTGCAGTGGCGCATCTTGCCTCACTGCAACTCCGCCCTGGGTTCAAGTGATTTCCCATGCTCAGCCTCCCTAGTAGCTGGGATTATAGGCGCCTGCACCATGCCCAACTAATTTGTTATTATTAGTAGAGATGGGCTTCCCCACATTGACTAGGCTGGGTCTTGATTCTGGACCTTCAGGTTGGAGCGGTGAGCCGCCTGCCTCAGCCTCCCAAAGTGCTGGGATTACAGGCATGAGCCACCATGCCCGGCCAGAATCCGATATTCTTAAAGAGAACTGGAAGGGATCTGAGATCTTACTACTTTTGACTTTTCAGTGGTCTAGTAGATGGATAATCTGATTTTTGAAATGCATGTTCTTTGAATTCAGAATCATACAGAGGATAGGAACTAAAGCATGGAGAGCTCACGGCCCGCACACTTGTATCATGGTGCATGCGTGGGTGCACGCACAGACACCCACAACCCAGTTCAACACACATACACACACACACCCCCCCAGCCCAATGTAAAACTGCACGTAAGTTTCAGCTGCATCATACATGCTGGCTTTCTTATTTTTAACCTCACCTCTGCCCTCCCTCCCGCCACCCCCTGAATCCATGCTAACTCCATGCTCACCATGTGAGCTCCAAAAATGTGAGACCATATTATATATCGGGGTCCAGAAGCCATTTTCCTAAAAGCCAGATAATAATAGTCTAGGCTCTGCGGGTCATGCCATCTCTGTTGCCGCCAGCATAATGCCACAGCAGGAATGGGCAGAGCTGTGTCCCCCTCCCCCAAAATGGGCAGAGCTGTTCCCGCCACCCCGAAAACCTCTTATTTATAAAAACAGGCGCAGGGCCAGACCATTTGTAGACCCTTAACGTCTATCATTTCATCTCTTTCTCCATGGTCACGTTTAATCAAATACAAATATATATTATATATTTGTCTGGCAACAGACTTTCAACGGCAAAAACTGCAATTACTTTTGCACGAACCCAATACAGACAGGTTTTGCAGGGTCCTCATTTCATTTTACACAAATGGCATTGCACAATACTTATGTCTGCATCTGGCTTTTCCCTCCTCACACCTGGTGGGTGTTACTCCAGATCAATTTGTATCAATTTTCCCAGTCTGTGTGCTTTTCCCCACTTCAAGGGTCACTAAGCAGAGGTAGGATGTACCTTTCAAACAGTAAAATGAAGCCAACCAAATCCTTCCCCCTGACTCTGCTCTGTGTGCCGATCCTTCTCAGGGTCTTTCTGACACAGCCACCAGCTGGGCCTCCTGAACCTCAGTAACTGGCCCTCCCCTCTTGACCAAGGCCACCCAGAGGGAAAGAGGAATTTGCACCCAACATTAAAGACTACAGGGTGGGGGTGGGGAACACCTCTTATGAATCATTAATATAAGGTGGCATTTTCAGGGCATTGCAGAAAACAACCCTGATTAATTGCAACCCACCAAATAAATAAAAATTGCAAATACTGTACCAGAGCCTGCTCTTCCTCTGTGGTGTGAGGCGGGCAGCCCCAGGCGAGTTTCCTAACCCTTTTGAAATACAGTGAGGGACACCACAGGCTCTGTTTCCTTTGGGCCTGATAAAGGGAACTCTCTCTATCCCAAATAAGGATTTCCCTTGCCAGGCCTCAAGACGGTAGCATCTCCACAGGGGCCTCTGTTGTTTATTTTACTAAGAACTTTATCTAGTGCTTGCAGCACTTCAAAGGACATCTGATCTGTTCATGGCTTTGTTTGGAAGCCTCCATCCTTCCCGGCTGCCTCCTCTGGGTGGGAGTCACCGGCGCCTACTACAAAGGGCCTTAATTTATGAGAATCCTGGAGAAGGATCCTGTTCTTTCATAAACTAATGTTCAGTAAGTCTCTAATGTGAGTTTCAAGCCAGGTAATGCTGTCATGCTTGAATACAGGAGAAGGCGCACTTCTGCCTTCTCTGGGGAGGCGGCTCCTCAGACACTCATGCAGAGGACTCTACTCACCCACAGAAGCCCAACGTCCTAGGAGTGTGAGTTCGATGGTGTTCGCCACAGTGAATTCTAAGTGTCCTGCACAAACGGAGGGGATTCTGGCAGAGTAACCCAAAAGCTATGGACACGTTTAGTCATCCATGCTTGATCTCAGGCTGTGAGAAACCCAGTAAGAAGGTGAAATGGTTACAGAAGGAGGCTTCAGACTCTGGGTCTGAATTCCGGCTTGGATGCACGAGAAGGTTAATCTGAGAGTCAGACTCGTGTTCATACAATGGAGATATAAAACCCAGGGACACTGTGCAGCCTAAAGAAAATAATGAAGATAAAGCAGATGGAAAACAGTAGGCACTCAATAGAGGTTTATTGTTCTTTCCCCTCTCTTCACACGACTGCAGTGGTTCTCAAACGCTGGAGTGCCTCACAGTCCCGCGGAGGATGTTAAAATAGTTTGCTGCTCTCATCCTGCCACCTCAGAGTTTGTGAAACTGAAGACTGGCATTTCTAGAGAGTTCCCAGGTGATGCAGATACTGCCGGTCTTGGGACTTCACTCTGAAAACCACTAAGCTACTGGTTCAAAATCCCCAGGTCTGCAGTGGCCAGGATGCCTGGGATGATAAGGACCCTCTGGGATGGAAGACTGGTCGCAGACTTAAAGTCTCAAAAGTCAACAGACATGATGAATGGTCTGCCTGAGTCTGTTTCTGCGCCCAGCCGGTGTCAGGCTGGCCCCTGATGTCTGGGGTGTGCTTTCTAAGGTCCCTGTACTCCTGAACAGAGGTCAGGTTCAGCCCAGTCTTCCAAATGGAATGGGCCAAGCCTGTGCCGGCTCCTGCTGGACACAAACCCCCTGGCCTTCTGCCGCCACGTGCCAGCAGGCTCCATTAGGAGTGACCTCAGTTTCTCCGAAAGGGGGTCTCTGTGCCAAGGGTTTCTGCAAAACAGTCTGTTGGTTCTGAGAGTGCAGCAGGGTACTCCGGGGAGCAGAATGTGGGCAACAGCCCCCAGGGCCCTAGTTGTTCTGGCATCATCTCGCGGTCAATTAGCCTCTCTCCCAAACACCTTCCCTTCCAGACTTAGCTGGCTGTCCCGCTGGGTATTTTCTGATCATCCCTCAGTGAAGCAAGGGCCTAATTCCTCTGTGGGGACAAGCACTGCTCTTTTTTGAGTCTCTGTTTGGCCTCGTCTCTGAGCCAACAGGCCAGCAGGTGGGAGCCCTGGAGGCCAACAAAAGGACGGCAGGCCACCTCCCTCTTCCAGCGTGGACACCGTGTCCCACAAGTACAGATTAGCAACCCAGCCCAGGGGCCTCCACTGCCCACCACTGGCGGCGAAAGAGACCCACTGCAGACGCCCGTGGAACAAAAGATCTTGCTCATCAAGACGCTACCTCCCGTTTACGTTTTAAAAACTTGTCTTTAAAGGGCGAGAAAAAGAAAAACATAAAATTCTGCCTTAAAGGGCAAAAAACAAGTTCACCCACAAACCGTTTACATGAAAAACTTCCTTGTATGGCTCGATGACTCATCAGCCTCATCAAAGCCTGCGCTGGATGACACACGAACGCTCGGGTCCCCCCTTCCTTGCCCAGAAGAAACGATGACAACCCACAAACGCCACTTCTTCCTTGGCAGTTTGGGAAGCTGCTGTAATGCGTCATTTCTGAGGCTCAGGAAAGACCTTTACACAGAAGGTGGGGGCGGGGGGGTCCTGAATGTCCCAAAGCCCAAGGCTGGCCCTTATGTAGAGCGGAGGAAGCCCTGGCCAGGGACAGGAGAGTGCAAGGCAAGGCTGGGTGACCCAGGCACATGGTGCAAACCCCGCACCTCCACTTCCCAGCTCTGCAGCCGGGGACAGCTCACTCCACCCTGGTCCCTGGGGTGTGCTTCCGGGCTTCCGAGTTGGGGGGCAGCGAAGCCTGGGCAGCAAACCACCTTGTACTGCCTCTGGCCTGTGGATAGTAGATGCTCAATAAACCTCTCCTTCCCGTCAGAAACTCAGTCTCCCTTTGTGGATGACAGCATTTTCCTAAAGGATCTAAAGTTCCATCCACCTTAAACTCTGCCTGAAGGGAAGACTATGAAACTGGAAAAGAAAATGGCATGGATTTGTGTGCTACTGCAGGACACTGCTGCAACATATATTAAGGAGTATGGAATGGAACAGCGTGGATGATAAAATCTGTGTGGTGTTTACAAAGGAATATTCATAAGCACTTTCTGAGAAGCCCCGTGCAGCCGCTAACAGTGACTGCCTAGGGGAAAATGGACTTGAACGAGTGGAGGCCAACTTTTCATTTTATACCTTTCTATACTTTTCAGGACTACCACCTATGCACGTGCATTTTATTTTTCTTAAATGTTCGCAGAGGATGTCTGGCAGGACAAGGAGCTGGCTGGAAAGGGGCACGAGGAGATTTTCTGGGTGATGGAGATGCAGGTGGTGGTTACTCAGGTGAATACAACAGTAGAACTCCCTCACACTCAACAGTCAGGCATTACATTTTGTTACATGTAGACAACAGCTTGATTTTTTAAAATGTAAAAGAGGTTAAGAGAGATTTATAGACAGTGGGAATTTTCTTAGTTCTCTTTGTCCTTTTTGGTATTCTAAAAAACTTAATAAATGCCAGTTTTTAAATGCCCTATGTCTTAGGGCTCTTGCACACTGCTGGTGCAAGTATACACTAGTGCAACCACTTTACAAAACTGCAGGGCAGTGTCAATGAATGACAATTCAGTCCCCAAGCATATACTCAACAGGACCATGGACACGCGCTCACCAAAAGATGTGCACTACAGCGTTTACAACGGCCTATTGGTAACGGCCCCAAGCTGGAAAGACCTATCCATAGAATGAACAAGTTAACAGAGTCTAAGCATACAACAGACCACCACCCAGCAAAGTGAATGGACAAATTGTTGCTACACACAACACAGATAAATCACAAGAAGCCAGTCTCAAAAGAGTTCAGAGTGTCTGAGTCCATTTAGATAAAGCTCAAGTGTATGCAAAGCTCATCTACGCTGCTAGAAGTCAGGATAGCCGTGGCTGCCCATGGTGGGGAGGAGGGGCCGAGGTGAATGGCAACTCTTTTTGATTTGTACAGTTTTCTAGATGTATTTTATCCTTCAATGAGAAGTTTATTTCAAAAACGACCTGTGTCTTTCAAAAACGACCTGTGTCTCTTCCAAAGACAACAGCTCCAGCTGGGCAAAGTGGCAGCTCTGTGGGCTCCAACGGAAGAGGACAAAAGACCCATCCTCCTGTCCCCTGGGTTCAATTCCCAGCCCTGCCTGTCTCTAGCTGTGTGATCCTGGACAGGCCTCTCTGCTTACTCAGCTCCTCCTTCAAGACAGGCCTAACCAAATTTTGAGAAGATTTCACAAGATAATACATAGAAAAGCCCCCAGCAGAGCTCCTGACCCTCGTAGGTGCCTAATAATTGTTTTTCTCTCCCTCTACTGTAATGAAAGCCCTCAAGAGCATGAGCTCTCCTTCCCAAGGCTCTTGGCCCTCTGCCACTTGTTACTTTCAATCCCTGAAGCAGCCCTGGTTACTAGTTATGGGGTCCCTGACGACCCACTGTGGGGCTTGGGCTGTGGCTGGGAGATGCTGGTGACTGTGGCCCTCGCAGGGGACCGGCAGCCTGGCCCCAAAAGGTTTCCCCATTTGGATTGAACAGGTGCACAAAGAGGCTGCTGGGCTGGACTCGCTTCCCCTCTGTACGGGCTTGAAGGCCTTTGCTTGCTCACCAGCTGCACCTCCCGCTGAGGGCCCCTCCTGCAGTCTTGGAGTGGGCTGGGCCCCCTGCCTCTGGGGAATGCCCCTCCTTTCACAGCTCCCCACTGAATCCCTTTGATCCCCTCTTAAGAGGTCACAAAGCCCTCTTTGACTGAGTGCCAGAAATTAATCTGGATAGAATTCCTGCCTTTTCAACCTGGACAAAGCAGGCAGGTGGTTGGGCCTGTGAGAGGACTGAGGCCGACTCCCGCCCATCCTTGCCCCTCCCCGGTTCTGCTTCCTTCTCGGAGGGTAGGACCCTCCAAGAACGGACCCACGGTGCCTGCCTGGAAGCTCCACAGAAGCTTCCATGAGAAAGTCCCACGGAGGCACAGTCAGAGCCAGTGGCACTGACCTGGCCTCCAGCAGCACTCGCCCCACAGGCCTGGGTGGTCACTCACGTAGGATGGAGGACACTTTCACTGCCTCTGTCAGCTGGGTGGCCTGGCAGGGACTATGCTGAGAAGAGCTCTGCCTCAGGGCAAAGCATGTGGTGGCTGATGGGTGATGCCCGCCCTGGGCACACGAGTTGGTGGCCTGTGTGCCACACATGTGCCTCCGTCTCCTGCAGCCCTGTCTCCTAGCACCCTCCGGCACCAAGAGCCTGTTTCCCTCTGTGTCCTTGTTCATTAGAGAAGAAGAATGAATGTTCTGAGTGGGTACCACGTGGCGGTGCTATTCTAAATACTGAACAGCTATGAACCCATTTACTCCCCATAAGAACCCAGTGAGCTTGGTTTCATTTGACTCAAGAGGCCCAGAGATGAAAGTAACTAGTCCAGCGTCACACAGCCAGTAGGAGGTGGATCAGGGTTGGAACCTGGGCAGTCTGGCCCTGAAGCACTGTAGAAAGTATTACTTTGGGAGCAAAGAGGTAATAGGTGGTGAAAGTCACCCAAAAATACCGTTCTCTCTGGCCCAGTAGCCACTTCTAGAAATCTGCCCTACACAAGTAATTCAAATAAAGTGAAAGCTGAGATACGCGACGGTCACGGCTGCATTATCTATAATTGAGGAAAGCTGGGAACGACCCAAATGGCGACCACAGAGGAGCCCTCTGGTAAATGGCACCAGCCTCTTCGTGGACGATTATGCAGCCATTAGGAAGCCTCCCCTGGGAGCTGTGGCACGGCACTGGGATGTCTGAGCTGCCATGACTTGGCGAGGCTCACAGGACTGTCCGTGTGCCTGGCCACAGCTGCCAAAATGGCCGCGTGAAGATGGATGCAGCCTCGGAGGAGAACTGCAAGGTCAGAACTGGCAGGAGCTGGGGGCACTGACTTGGATGTGATTGTAAAAACGGTAGAAAAGGACACAGAGAGGGAGGAAGGTGACCAAGACGGGGTTAGATGGGCAATACGGAGGTGGGGTGGGGTTCAAGGGCAACGTCTTCCCTCAAGACCAAGGGATGAGCTGGGCTAGAGGGGATAGGCCCAGCCAGGAGCCACCTACGTGAGGGATGGTGTGGAGCAAGGGAGTCAGGTGCAAAGTCAGATGTGGGCTTCCAAATCTCAAGTTTAAAGTCAGGGGACACAGCGGCCAGTGTGTTTGGGGAAGATGTGGAAGCGGGTCAGTCCTGAGTTTGACACCAGGCCTGGGAGACGTGGTCTGACAGTGGCTGTGCTGGTGTCACGCAAGACAGGATGAGGCAATCAGCTCTTCTCCACGAGAAACAGGGGTTTGCCCAGTCAGAGATCAATTCACATTATTCTTTTTTTTTTTTTTTTTTTTGAGCACAGTTTCACTCTGTCACCCAGGCTGGAGTGTAGTGGCACCATCTCGGCTCACTGCAACCTCTGCCTCCCAGGTCCAAGTGATTCTTATGCTTCAGCCTCCTGAGTAGCTGGGACTACAGGCCTGAGCCACCACGCCCGGCTAATTTTTGTATTTTTAGTAGAGACGGGGTTTCACCATGTTGGCCAGGCTTGTCTTGAACTCCTGACCTCAAGTATCTGCCTGCCTCATCCTCCCAAAGTGCTGGGATTATAGGTGTGAGCCACTGCACCCGGCCAATTCACATAATCCTAACGGTGATGGGAGACGTAGGGAAAAATGAAAAGCTCTCATGCAAGCCTCAGGCACCAGAAACACCCAGGCTCTACCCAGATGTGCCACGAGAACAGGTGGGAGCTAGGGTGCTGCTCCCAAGTGCACGTCAGGTGTGAGAAGTGTCTGGTGAGCGTGTGTCTGTGTACATGCGTGCAGGTGCAGTTGGGAGCCACACTCCCAGTGGCTAAAGTCCCAGGTTCTGGACTCACTCAGATGTCTGTTCAAATCCCAGGTAAGCCATTGAATAACTGTGTGACCTTGAATGAGTGATTTAACCTCAGCCTCAGTTTCCACATCTGTACAATGGGAGAACAGGAGAAACAGGCACCTCCTCAGGGCTGTGAGGATTTGCCAAGCTGAGTAAGTGAGGCACTGGCACACGCCCGGCACAGGAGTAAGTGTCCATCATGACTCGGGGACCAGCTGCAGCCTTGTGCTGAGGCCTTGGGGTGCAACTGGGGGCTTGGCTTGGGCTGGATGAAGACTTGGGGGATGTGAGCTTGGGAAGGGATTTGCAGCCTGGTGGAGACAGCGCCTGGGGCCACAACTCTAGGACACTAGGAGTGGCTCTTCTCCAGGGAGGCTCCCATGACCAGGAGGTGACTCAGGGGAGGTGGGATCCGGGAGGAAGGTCAGAGCCGGGCGTGACAGCCCCCACTGGTGGCCTGGTCCGGAGCCTCAGGCTTTCCGCTTTCCTAGGGATCCCCCCATCTAGCATGGCCCTCGGTGAGGGGCCAGGGGAGGCATCAGCTCAACGGTCCTGTGTCATTCTGACCTGGTCCCCCGGGGCTTTCCCCTGCACGGGGATGTGGGTGACGGATCCCGCCCTGCTGAGGGTGCAGCAGGTGGGGAGGAGACGACCCAGGCCCTGCCCTCAGCTTCCGGCCAGGTGGGCTTCACCTCTCTGAGCCCCAGGCACTTTGCCTTGGTGCTGGGGACTTTGAGGGTGGTGGTTCCCCAGTACCAGCTCCCAACACAGAACATGGAACAGACTCATTCCCGAGGCGCCGCAGCCACTCATGAGGTGGAAGCGAGATCGTGACCCTCGCTGGGAGGCATCTGGCTTTGGCACCGTCCTGTATCCCCTTGGACTCTCGGTCCCCTCCGCTATGAGATGGGGGAGGGATGTGGACCCCGCAGAACTGTTTCTGGGCTCAAAGGAGCACGGGGCACATAGTGCTGGACACAGGGGATGCTCCATGGCCAGGCCCAGGCAGAGATGGTCCTGAGGGCGGGCTTCCCACCCACCCCAGCCCTCACAGGCCATGAGTCAGCCAGGACCACCAGCAGGGGCTGGAAGGGGCTGCCGGGGAGAGGGGCTGAGCCAGCTGCTCCCACCATGTCGGACCCACTCGGAGACACACTGATGATGGCGCATGAGAGGCTCCCACGCGTGGGCTCCTACCAGGATCCCTTCTGCCAGCTGCACAAACAACAGAGCCTTCGATCCTCACACGGCCCAGTAACGAGACGCCAGGATCATCCCCATTCCACAGAGGAGAAAACTGAGGCCCAAATAAACACACTCCAAACCAGCACACTCATAGTCTCCCCACAGGCCCCACACACACTCACATAAAACAGTCACCCCACATGCCACGTACACACACTCATAAAATAGTCACCTCATATGCCACACACACACATTCATAAAAGTTACCCCATATGCCACACACACCACACACACACTCACAGTCACCCGCACACACCACACGCACACATACACAAACACACACACACATAAAATAGTCACCCCACAGGCCACACACACACACACACACACACTCATAAAACAGTCACCCCATATGCCACACACACACAGTCACCCCCACACACCACACACACAAAAAATAATCACCCCATAGGCCACACACAGTCACCCCCACACACCACACACACACAGTCACCCTACATGCCACACATACACACACACTCATAAGATAGTCACCCCACACCCCACACACACTCATAAAATAGTCACCTCACACGTCACACACACACACTCATAACACAGTCACCCCACATGCCACACACACATGCAGTCACCCACACGTCACACGCACTCATAGTGACCACACATGCCACATACACACACTCGTAGTCACCTCACACGCTACACACACACAACAGTCACCTCACCACACACACTCATAAAATAGTCACCCCACACAACACACAATCACAGTCACTCTTGCTCTCACACACACTCTCACACATTCACTCTTACATTCACACACACACATTCTCCCCCGCACACACACCCACTCTCACACTCACACACCCCACATTCTTTTCCACCCTTCTCCACACAGGAGGGACACAGGCCTGGGCTTGGATGGGGTGACTGAGGGGCTGTGGCCCCCCTGGGGGCTGGGAAATCTGCCCAGCAAGAAGAAGACAGCGAGGCCAGGGCAGGCGGCCAGAAAGGATCCAAACCTGGGCTGGGATTTTCCCAGAGCCAAGGGCACTCCTCTGGCCCTGGCAGCCCTGCGACAGGAACATAGGCCAGCTTCTTGTGACACACAGTCTGCTCCTTGAACCCCAGCTCTGGGGCTCGGCCCCGGGGGCTGTTCTGAGTGACCTCGCTTCCCCCAGGGAAAAACCATTTTGGTTTCCAGGACTTGTGTGCCTCGGCCTGAGGAACCCGTCTCAGGAAGCGAGAAGGTGGAGAGGTACCAGGAGCCCAGCTCCCACAGCAGGTGCATCCTGGCCTCTCAGGGCTCCTCTAGGAGCCTGCTGTGTGTCTCCTCACAGCCCGGTAGCCTGGACCTGTCACCTGGGCCTGTTCACATGGACAGACTTGTCCCTCACAGCTGTGCATACCTGGGTCTCTCACCTCCAAACCCTGGACACAGAAACAGGCCAATCTTCTCACTGCTTTGTAAACACACACGGTCTCCTCACAGCCTCAACACGCTCTTGGCCTTGCCCCACAAACTGGGCCTTCACGGCCTCGCATACACAGGCCTGTTCCCTAATAGCCTCGTGTGCAGACAGGCCTGTTGCCACAGGGCTTGGCCTCCGAGGGCCAGGGCGGGAGCTAGGAGGTGCATCTGAGTCAGAAATGAAGCCTCATTAACCCAGAATAACTGTTTAATGCTTCCACACCCCTGGGAATTAGCCTCAAGGGCTGAACCACCCAAACCAAACAGGGCTGGCCTCCCCAGGGGCCCTCAGGACTGCAGGCTCTAGCGAATGCTGGGAGGCAGAGCAGCCCTGGGCCGGGAGATCCTGGCCCTCCTCCCGCAGGCTCCAGGCCTCCTCAGATCTCCCAGACCAACACGGCAGAGGCCAGGCCGGGAAGGCTGGGAGGAAGAGCAGAGCTGCTCGGACAAAGAGGCAAGGATGTTCAGGGTCTAATCCCGCTTGCCTTCTTGGTGGCCTTGGAACCTTGTGCGAATGACTTATACTCTCTACACTCAGATTTCCCCACCTGCAAATGTCGATAGGCACAGAACCTATTCAGTGAGAGGAAGTAATTCACAAAACGCAGCATCCAATGCTGAGTAAACTCCTCCAACACGGGGGCTACGACTGCGTGTGAACAGCTCAAAGTTCTGAGCTGAGGCCACAAAAACAACACTGTTACCCAGATGGAAGAGCGTGAACAAGATGCTGGATATTTTACCCCGGCTCTGCCTTCTTCCACAAGACAATTTGAGGTCGATTCTATAGCAGCAGTTGTCAACCCTGTTTTCATGACTGTCCGCATAAAGAGCTCTAGTGTCTCCCCTATCTGTCCTCCCTTTGAAAGAAATACTCAAGAATACGATTTCATTGAATAGGGTGGAGCTTTGGAGGGCCACAGACTATTGGAATCATTAAGATTTGTTTAAATCTCAAAGAACCAATTTTGGTCCCGTTAGGGGTGATGTGGCCCCTGTTGGGAATGCCGGTAGAGATGCAAGTCCAACTTGATAGAAACTAAGCAATGGGAACACAGCATTTAGGAGGTTGCATTCTTTTTTTTTTTTTTTTTTTTTTTTTGAGGCAGTCTTGCACTTTCCCCCAGGCTAGAGGTGGCATTCTTTACGTACAGAAGAATGTGTTCTGACTGTGTGTGCACTGCAGCCACAGGAAACAAATGTATACTGGTGTAGGAGAGAAAAGGACA